TTTCCACAGCGTGATGTGATTCTAAACAAGTTGAGGACTTTGGGTTTACAGCAGCCTCTGCCAAATGTTAAGCTACAGACTGTTGACATATCGCACCATCACCATTGAAACGCTTTTCAGTTACATTAAAGTCTTGCATGAGAAAAGGGTAACTTCATCTGAAAATTGCAAAGTAACTTAAACGTTAATATTAGTTTCACAACAAGCAGTAAGGCAGTAAAGAATGTCAGGAGGGTTTTTTTTTTCAGTCAGAAACAGAAAGGCTGAAACGTGGAAGGAAGTATTTTATTAAGTTCTTAACTCTGGCCCCCAAAATATTCCTGTTCTCAATTTTCTAACTTTATGGGGGGAAAAAACACGAGTTTTATCAGTGACTGAGAAAATTATTTTCTGTGAATATACACAAAGCTGTTAATACATTCCTTTTGTGCGAAGGGACATTATTAATTTTCTTTTTTCCACTTGTGAATTTGTGAAGATGTTTATTGCAGCCAGTCGTTCAGAAGAAGAGAGAGAACCTGCAGAAACTAGAAAGAAGCTGTCCGGGTGAACTGTGAACCAAACGCATGCAAACGTGGGAAATTTATTACAGCAATAATTTACATAGCCGTGTCCTGAGTGAGAATTTAGCAGCGTGAAGCATAAAAACACGGCCAGCACTGCATTCAGCACTAAACTGTTTAGACCTGTAACCAAGCAGAGAAAGTGTAACACCTTGAAGCTGCATCAGACCGCTGCATTTGAATTGTCCGCAACAGAACCAGCTTTGTCAGAGGTTTTGTTTTGGCGAAAGTCCAACGGCGAAGGGAGTGACATGAAAACTCAAATTAAGCTTATCCATTTGATCCAGGCTCTTTGTGGTGAATTGCTGCCATTGACAGGTTGCCTATGTTTCCGTTACATTTCCCTGGCAAGTCATATAATGGCTAAATAAATGTATTTTTACTCTTCCACAGGATTTACCACAACACTAAAGAGAAGAAAGAAAAACTGAAGATCAGAGATGGGAAAAGACATAACATGTTACATATATAAAGTGGGTGAAGATAAAATGCTGCAGTCTGCTACAATTGCAGCTCCAACACAGTTAAATATTATGTTATTTAAAATTAATCCGTGAACAATCATGTGTCCAGAGCTGTTTTTTTTTCTTCTTGTTTTTGTTTGATGAAATGTTTAGATTAATTACTCATTTAGATTGCCACACCTGTTAATCGTGGAAGAAATATTATTCTTTTTTTAGTTTAAAGTCTTGTGGTTACATGAGAAAACTGCTAAATTTTTCTAACAAGGTTAACAAAGCCTTGTTCTGGCAAGTGTCCATTAATAATATTCCATGTTTCATTGATATATTCATTAACTAAAAGGGGTTTTCTCTCAGGAAGGAACAAGTATTTAAATATTATACAACTCTGTAGTTTGGGAATGGGACTTTTTTCCTGGCAAACTAGTTCCAGTACTGGTTTAGAAAAGTAGCCGTCAAACTTTCACTACAAAACTAGTCCGACCTTAGAACCAACTCTCTGCTGGGCCAGACAAAAGTAAATGTTTATGAGTCACTTGAAATGTGTCCGCCACCACATCCAGAGAAAGATATTAGATTTATTTGAGTCATGGACTTCACAGATGCTTAAAAAAAATTAATAATTCAAATTAAATGTCTAAAAACAAAACTGACATATGAGGAGGGAAAAAATTGTTCCTTAGAGGCGTTAAAAATATTCCGGCCCTGACTGAACTCGCTTCTGCATATGGAGACAAACCGTATCAGTTCTGACAATCAGTAGAAACACAGAGTTGCATGTTTAACTAGCACTACAGAGAGCTGCACCCAGCCACTCGGATATTTCTATAAACAGTGTTTGCATTTACAATTCTAACCACTGTAGGGCTTTTCAATAGCCAGTTAGAGTCAATAAATCCTGCCTAAAACTGTGTGTTTAACATCCACTTGCACTGCTGCATTGAACTACCAGTCAGGATTTTAACAGGAAAACTGACTGGGTCCTCAAATCTAGGATTGAGGATCCCACGTATGACTGCAAATCATCCTAAATGACAAAAATAATAGCAGTAACCCATATTCTAAATGTTAGAATAGGCAAAACATAGTACCTACATTACTTACATTGTCACCGTACCCCTGTTTAATTAAGTCATAACCATTGGAAGAAAGATTTTTAGTGACAAAATGGGCTAGCACCGGGCTGGTTATCCAGCAGTGGAAAATGACTGTAGCTCCTAACTTTTGTTCACACTCTAGCATCAGGTTTGGTTTAGCACTGGAGCCACTTTGGTTGCCGAAGCCCTAATCGAGTGCCGCTTCAAGAAGTAGACTACACAGTAAAACATTAAGTACGGGAAATACCTAAATCCATCAGTGGTAATGACAGTTTAAAAGTCAGCCCAGTTGGCACACCGAGTGCAGTTCTGCTTTGCTCCTGAAGAATCCAAGGAATGCTTTTACTCTGCAGGCCGCCACAAACACCCATAACAACTGGACAGAGCATTACAGCTTGTTTAAATCGGTCTGCTGAACAGATGCATAATACCATAATGAATAAATGTTAGCAAACACATGAGACAAGGCATCTTCACAAACGCACAGTGGGGCAAAGCAAGATAGTGGCTGCCTTTCTTTATGCCCTAATAGAGTTTTACCTAGGCTTTGCTTGGCATCAGCTTGAGTTATTATGTGCGAGGAAGGATTGTTCTCAGTGCTGGGAGACTCAGCAGACATCCACATTCATAAATACACACAAGCAGATCCAGACACATTGATGCAAAAGCCTCATCATTCCAACTCCCCGCCTCATAATGGAGGGACAGAAAATAATAGTGAACTAATGCCAACCTGTCCCAGCCTCTCTCAATTTTCTCAGCGAGTAACACTCACAGTTCGTCTCTCACTTGCTCTCTTCCCTCGTTAATTGCTTAATAGAACCGTTCACTTTCCCTGCAGACGCTGCCTCTTTTGCCACAGACAGTGTATTATTTACATTAGGCTGGCAACTTAATCGCATCCTTTGCCTGTTACGAAGCAGGACTTAGAAGACTCCTTGTGTGCCGAGGTTAAGTCTCGGTCAGCACTCCTGTCTGTGCTCTGCCATCACTGCAGTAAGAAATGCTCATCTAGGAAAGTATCAAATCAATTCTTGCTATTAATTAGTCTCCGCCAGACTAACACTGCTGATAAAGTTCTACACTTAAATAGAACAGGAACACATTATGTCTATCAAGCTGTTTGGAGGCGTTGGACAAGCAGATCTATGTTCAAATCACTAAAGTAATCAAGTCCCTGAGCTTGACAGCCGTACTGCATATCCAAATAAACAGAACAAACAGGGAGTAGTGCAAATTATGCCCACTTTTAACAAAGTAAGCCATGAGGAAGTGCTTTGTCACATCAGAGGTACTGTTAAAAAGCCCATCTAGGGACAAGTGCTGCGAATTAGCTGTTGCTATTGCACTATGACGCAAACATGGGCTGCTGTTCTGTTCACTTTGTCGATGTGTGTCTCTCCCTATCAAATAAGCTTAATAATCAACATTAGCATAATCAGACAGAGGTAATTTCACAACATTGCTCCTGGTGTCTTTCAGTAATAACTGAAGGCACAAAACTACAGTGTATTCTCAGAGTGTCATGTTAAGCACTCTGGGTGAAACAGTTTGAATTTCTCTCTTTCTCAACACAGATCTTTTAGTGAACGTAGCCCAAGAGTTTGCAACAGGTCTCCAACACATAAAGGTGTCTGACAAGATAGATTAATGAGGCCACAACGAAAACAGAGTGTCACCACACAGTCCACGTTTCAGTACTGTATTCAAACATAATGGCTGGACAGTGGATTGTAAAGTGCTAGGAGTAGCTGGAGTTATTGCTTGTTGCCACTGGATCGTGATTTTTGAGTTGGTGATGTTTTGAGTTTTCAAAGAATGAAGCACAATGCCATGGTACATAAAGGGTTTTCCTGAAATGATAGTTTCATGCCGCTGAAGATGCAAGAAAAAGTGTAAAGGTACCAGTGTGTGGATTGTTGTGTAACACATTTCTGCCACTACGCCACATGTTGCCGCACACTGCCAGCCAGATGGCTGAAAGAATGCTGCACTTTTTGTTCCTCACTTGGAAGACAATTATAGTTGTTTGCAAAGATTTTCCATAGCAAAAAACACTGACACTCATACACAAAAAAACAAAAAACAAAAACATAATTGATCACTCTTATTAAGGTAGCTTAGACAAACTGATTAACCAACTATTGTCCACTTCTTGTTACTCTTTAAAGAGTAAAATAATGAAAAGGTGTTTTAACTTAACCGGTAGTTTGTCCATAGTTTGAAAATATGCACAACAGCAATGTTTTCATAAACATTAGTGATTATTACATTAAAATAGTTTAGCAACAGGAGGAGAATTTGTTTCTTTATAGTTTAAATAAAAGCAATGAAAGCACAGTGTACTCTCAGGTTTACATTTTTCAGATGAAAGTTTGTCACGACAGCCACCTATTACTTAACCTGCAGCATGCAAGACTACATTATAGATGGTTTTTAAGCACAAAAGGCTGCAGATGAATATTTATATTACTTCTTAGCTTTGACACTTGTTCAAATTTAAGCCTGTGAGTCAGATTTTTTTTAAAGAGCAACTGCAACAACTACAATCTGTTCTTCACAATTTGCAGTTTTGCCCATAGTCTGATTGTTAACACAGTAACAAATGCCTGTGATAGTTTGTCCTTGCTTTGCATCCATCAAAGCACACACAAAGCCTTCAGAGTAGCAATAACACAAAGAATACACAAGATTCCAACCTAATTGTAAGTTTTCATACATTTCACAACAGAAATGCGGAAAACAACTGTTTACGCTGCTGCAACAATAACTGTTATATAAATCTAATGGAAGAATGCTGTTTTCTTGCAACTTTGTAAGCATGTAGGTCAAGATTCAGACTGAAAACCTTTCAACAGACTTAAAAGCTGGTGTTTTACCTTGTTCTGGTCAATCCAGTACAGGAAGTAGCCTTTGGGGTCAACGGTTAGAGTCACAGGGGTCACAGTGGTAGAATCCTGTAGTAAGAAAGACAAGACATCTGGAGTCAATCAGTGTGTCACCATGTAACACTGCATCCCTCTTGTGGCTTATACGCAAGTACATATGACGGAATATTCCCGGGGGTAAACCGGTTAATTTTCCTGTCAACATCAAAGCATAGTTGTTGTTTTTTTTTCTAACAACACTTGCATTCCAGAGTCTGAAATGACATTAAAACCGCTGTTTTTGTTGCACTTTACACACAATCCTTTTCTTCCAGGGTACTTTTCAATTCATGACGAGACACCGCCACAAATGACCAGCTCACTGGCGTGTGAGTGTAATTGCTGCGGCTGCATTCATGGCTGCAGGTTGTTTGAAAGCTGAAGTTACCATTTTCCCTTCTTGCAAAGGGGAAATGCTTTCCCACAGCTTCTACGTAAAGACGGTCCCATGTTTCACAGACACAATTTGACCCTGAGGCGCACATGGCAACGCCAGATATTATTGGATGCCGCTATAAAAAGAAAGAGGCTTTTGCCCTTTTTTTTCCCCCAGCATCGCATTGTGGCAGTAGTTCAGCTGAACAGCAGCATATTGTCCTCTTCAATATCCGGGAAATCAAACCACATTTGCTGCAACAAAATCTTCAAAGTGTCTTCCTGAGACAACTAATGACGTCCCTAACACAGCATTTGGAGGCAGAGCTAATGGTCAGAATGTGCTACACATATCTATTTGTGTGACCCCATGCCACTTAAAGTTCAACATATAAAACCATTTGACTGGGAGATTGTAGACCTCTGATCCAACTGTACCGTGGTACAGAGAACAATAATAATTTATAATAAAATGACTTCAAGAGAAGAAAACATCGTAGAAAAATTGCACACTTACTCCATGACTGAGCAGGAAGAAAAGAATTGAGTAAAAAGTGAATGAATGACATGTTCTGAGATTGAACTGGTAAAGTGTTGTATCAGAAGCATTTGCTATAGGGATGCTAATTACGGCAACTCAACATTCACTGGAAATAAATACTCCTCAGTATCAGTTTAGGTTGTGCACGCATGATTGCACAATCTTTGTAGGCTTGACTGAGGGAGAAAAACCTGCATGGGTTGATTGGCAGAACACCCCGCTTTAAGTTAGCGTTTAGTGAAGAGGCATGCAAGCCTATTCATACTTTTTCTTTCATTTGTTGGTGTGTTACACCCACCGCCCCAATTTATTTGAAACTGCAGCTGAAAGCAACATACAGCGTAGCAGAAAAATTGTGAATGGTGAAAGAAAATTATAAATAGGAATGTGCAAAATTTATATTTCTTCTTTATATGGATGCTTATTACAAAATGCATTTTCAACTGCATTGAAGTCGGGACTTTGAATAGGCCACAGCATTTCAAAACGCTTTCATCTAACTTTGGTTATGTGTTTATGTTTGTTGTCCAGATAAAGGTAAAACTTCACCCTTGGCACAGTGGAGTCTGTGACAGGTTTAGTCCTGTATTTGGCTCCAACTATCATTCAATCAATGCTGACAAGCCTCCATGTCCCTATAAAGAAGCATCTCCACAACATGAATGGTAAGCTCAAATGGATGTGAAGTGTTGCATTTTATAACACATAGTGTAATTAGCTGACTTCTGAAGACAGTTTGTTGCCCTGCAAGTTGTTTTTGTGGAGCATCAGGATAAAAGAACCATCACTATTTAGATTTTCATTCTCCCAATATACTTATTTGTGTCAGTCTACATAAAATCTTCATAAAAGTCGCTGTCTGCCTTTTAGTTCCTCCAACTCCACTTTCACAGATAAATCTAAATTTTCTGAACTCAATAAACACATCAGTGATTCCTAGAAAATGAATTAGTAATGAAGCGGATCAACAACTTTTCGTAAAAACGTTCGCATTTCCATTAAACCAGTTGAAGCATTTATGCAGTAGGACAGGATGTGGCATTTGATGGGTTGGTTCTGATGTTAGTGGAAGGAATGAAGGATGGTTTGTGAGCTCTGGGAATCAACCTAATGATGTGAGAGCAGTCATTTTCACCAGCATCTTAATGTCTTAACTCTCCCCGGCCACCATAACAAACACATTAAGCTATTATGGGCTCTAAGTGAAGATTTTCTCTTGGGACTGAAAATAAAACCACACAGAAACTTCCGGTGGTTTGTAGTATTGCGTTTCATTTTTATAAAGAAAAAAAACCCAACAAGAAACAAAAACAACTGTTGTGTATTCCTTTTGTTTTCAACAAAGTTTTATTGTTTCTGGTGAGCCAAGAATGAACATTCCCCATCTGCTTTTGGTTTAGCTTTTTTTTATTATTATTATTGTCATTTGTCTGGACAACCTCAGCAAGCTGTGGTCTTATTTTTGTCAAACAAAAGGCAGAACAAATGACAAAAGTACAAACCCTGAGATCCCTGCCAAGAAAGACTGTCTTTTTTTTTTTTTTTTTTTTTGTGAAGCATCTGTGCCATTAGTGCTCAGCTCAGGGGAAACGTTATGGAGGAGATTTGAGTTCTGTACATTTCTGGTCTGTGTCCTAATGACATATCCTGCTACTTTCACTAGATTTAAGCTCCCTTGTGCAGACAGGTATGATCTCATTTAGAGTGCATCATGCAAAAAGTGGGGATGATTCCAAAGTAACAATTTTACTGATCCTGTATATATATATATATATATATATATATACACATATATACATATATATATATATATATATATATATATATATATATATATATATATATATATACACATATATACATATATATATATATACATATATATATATATATATATATATATATATATATATATATACACATATATACATATATATATATATATATATATATATATATATATATATATATATATATATATATATACACACATATATACATATATATATATATGTATATAGTAAAATGTCCGACTGACTTAGTCAAAACAAATAAGATGCCTTCGCCTTTCTGTGGGAATTCGGCAAACATTTAGAGGCGATTGTCCCTTTCTTTCCCTAACAGTCTTGCGCTGGAGTTTACCAAACAAATTTTACATCATTCACGCGCCCAGCGAGAAGCGCAAAATTTAATTTTCAGCAAAGTAGAAGCGTAGATAAATAAAACCCACATCAGAGGAAAGCAATAAATGAAAGAGGCACATCCATGTTGTGTTTCTTGTGACCTACACAATTCTGTGAGGGAAAAAATTGGGAGAGAAACCCAAAGCTGTGATAAGAAAAAAAAAATAATATAATTCATCTCTACTTTCAATTTATTAATTGAGCTTTCTATTCCACAGTGATTCTTTCCACGAAATGACACAAGGAGGAAATGGGAAGGACCTGGATGGGAAATGACCCAGAGAAAGTATCTGTGGGTATGTCTGTATTTCACAGGAAAGGCCTGGCAGGCATTTGGCTCTGGAGATACAGCTGCATGTGCCAAAGGCTGCAAACAACCCTGTTTGAGGAAACGACTCACACTTGACGCCCCTTTTTACAACAAAGACAAAGCTGATGGAATGACCACTCTTTGGCAATTAAATGAAAATGTTTCACAAGTCCTCTGATGATTGACAGAGCGAAATGTTTGCAAATGTGCACGATTTCCTCACTGCCGTCTGGACTGACTGTATTCGCACTTCTGCAACCCTCATCCATCTGTGCTGTGCTTGGCTCACCTGGAGTCAAATAAGATAACATGCATTTTCACCAAGAGGCTCATGAATTTATATTTCAAGATGGCCATGAATTTAAAAACAAGCTCATTTATGAAGGGCACGACAAAGCATACAGGAACTGTGAATTTAACAAATTTCAAATTTCTTTCACTAAAAATTAAAGGCTTAAGGCTCATTTCCAGGTATTTCTATTGGAGGAAAGAATATTCCAGGAAAAGGGAATTCAAAAATAAATAATCGCATGCAAATCCTCACAGTACACACAGGCCTGCACCCGGGTTGAGGACGGAGAAGAAAAGCGCAGTTATTCAAATAGGTTGTAACTGGATCACAACAAAAGTCCCTTTCAAATTCTACTGCTGACATGGCGTGGAAGAAAATAAGAAAACGGTTCAACTTGAACTCAAGTCTGAAGAGTGGCAGCTTTATCTATGTCACCTATATATATTACATGTTCATCTACTTCTTCAGAAAGGCTTGAAATGTTACCGAACTGAAGTCTTTTCATATCAACCTTGGTGCTGGTGCTTAAATAAACCCATAAAAATAAAGTGAGCAAGCAGAGGTCAGATAAGCTGTGAAATGTCAATTTCATTGACGCACGAGCTTTTGGGAAAGGCACGTGTACTCACTCGCGTGTACTCCAACAAACACTCTGCATTAAGATGTAAACAAAGCGCATGTCAGGGTGCTGCATTCTTGCAGCAATCCTGGATTAAAGCATGAAGGTAAAGCACTGAGCCCTGTCACTGCAGTCCCCACTGCAAATAAATCTACCCGCTGTGCTGTTGCATGAGTCGCTTATAGATTGTGTATGCCACACTGGACCATGTGCATGTAGATGAAGCGAATAGAAATTATGCAGAGATGTCGTCATAAATAAATAAATAAATAAATAAATACTGCTGGCGTGTCTATCCATTACTTACATCATCCCATTTCATAAATTTGCTGCCCTTTCGGAGGCACTCCGGCACGGACACTGGCTTGAGCTGCAACGCATGAACTCCAGGCTGAGCCCCAGCCATTGACTCATCCACTCCTCTCGACGCACGGCGCGGCCAGAAATGTATCTCTCCCCTCTGCGCTTCTTTTACGTCTCAACGTCTCCCCCTTTTTTTTCTTAAAATCCTCTCAAAAGCCAGCAGATGGAAGCCCACTGTTACTACTGCTGGTGGTATGTCATGCCCGCAGTGGCGGCGGCGGCGCGTTTCGGTTTTGGAGAGCTGGAGAGACAGGCGCAGGCGCGGCGGAGCGGAGCCACTGACTGACTGAACGACTGAGTGACATGCAGCTAAAAACGAGCTCCAGAGAGAGACAGAGCAGCGGGGGAAGAGGGAGGCATCTGAATGAGTTTCACGTCTGGTTTGAAATAGGAGCTACAAGTCAATACCAGGACAGGATCGATGCTTTAAGTGTTCTGGCGCCTCCGTGTGTCCGTGGCAGTGCGATGCGCGCGCACTGGCCCCCAAGCTGATAAATTAGACGCTATAGCAGCAGCAGGTGCACACGAGGCTGACACTATAATAACGCAATAGCAGCAAGAACAATATTTTTTCCTGATTTGGTAAATGACAGGTCTATTTTATGATGTAGACTGGAGAGGGGGAAATGACAAATTACATTTTTCCTCCAGCCAAATCTTCATCACAAATTAGATCATGGAAAATGTCATTTATTTCAGTAATTCAAAAAGTCAAACTCAGATGTAACATATACGTTTATCACACATTGAATGAAATGTTTCAATGAAAGCTAATAAAACCAAAAACCCAATTTCTCAGAAGACTGCAGTGTTACCGAAGATCAACAAAACACCTATTTAAAAAGTTTGTCTATGTACTGCAGAGTGTTTGCACTGAATGCCTGGTTGGTGCTCCAGTCAGCCTCTGCTGAGGTGTTGGGGAAAATCGGGTTGTTTTCAGCTCGTCTGCATTGTGGTCTCTGGGATTTACATCAGGACAGATTGAACTTTTCGACACCTATTCCAAAGATCATTTCATTTGATCACACTTTATTACATATTCAAGTTAAACCTAGTTAAGATTTATTTGCATGTGTTGAATGCTTGGGGTTGTTACTAATATCTGGTGTGAATTTGAGGTCAGCAGCCCCATTGGAATTACATTTACTAAGAAAATGATGACCATGTTCAAAACATTTTGAGCCATTTTAAGTATTTTCTTAGCAGAGCTTGTGATTTTTCATTCTGTATCAGCACTAAAGAGAAAGAAAATCATGCTCCCTCTTAATTGAAGAAGTCACTCTGCCCCCATTAGACAGAACGCACATAGACTTTTGTTTCAGTGCCCACACACTGCTCTAAGCATCTTTATTTTTTCATGACTGACTTCTTCAAAGTTGTGTGAGTCAAGGCAGTCTAACTGCCTTCAGGACATTTTTGGGCTGTAGCTCTCTTTTTAAATAAAACATTAAAGTCCTTGGGCCTTTGCACCACCAACTGTTTTCTTTTTCTTTTCTTTTTGGAGATAAAAAGAACAATGACGTTTCCTGTCAGGCGTGTTGTTCTCCCTTTGTGTCGCTCTGGTCAAACACTGCCTGACTGTGAAACAGCAGCCAGTTCGGCCCGACTGAAATCAACCTCCTACGTTAAGTCCAACCCTTCATTACCTGAACGTAAACGAATGTGAAGAAAAACATCTGGACAGCAGCACAAGAGCACAATCTCTCCACAGAGATTTTCTGTGGAGAGAAATGGAAGAAAGCAATGTCACGACTAAGATATTCAAATACTTTTGTAGTGCAAATGATTCAGTATCCTTCTTGCATTAAAAATTGATGTGGAAGATGCGTTTTCTTTTCAGCCTTGAGGTTCCGAGAAACTTTCAAAATCCACTGCAGCATTCACGCACACAAAAAATCTAAAGAGAAAAAACTACAAAACGCATCTGAGAAATTTCCAATATTTTAGTTTTATATATATATATATATAGCTATCATGGAGGTGTTTGTTGAATATAGTAGAAAAAAAAGACACTGTCTCACAGTTTGACTCATAAGATTAAAATTTTCCTGTTTTTGGTTAGTTAGACAAATGTAAAAACAATGAGCAATTGTTTTCTTTTTGTTTTTGTTTTTTAATTCAAATGTCTATAAACATTTACTTATTTCTTAGAAATATCTTTTAAGCTCTGTATCTTGAAATTTATGGATATTTTTTGTGGCTGCTCCAAAATTTTGTCTTTTTAAAATAACTGATTTGCAGCTGGGTTTAGGTTATTTGTCCATTTGGGAGACCAGTTAGTTCCCTGACATGAACTTCCTTGTTTATGTTTTGAGATGCTGCTTCAGTCTTTCTTCTTTATGGTCATAATGGTCTGTTTTGTGAAATGTAGCAATCCGACCTGAAGCAAAGTGTCCACTCATGATGTCGCCTTCCCGTTACTTCAGTGTCGGAATAATGTTTTCAGGCTTGCACGCCGCCTGCACGTTAAGCTGGCTTTTAATGACGATCATTGATGCCAATCACCTCTACTTTCATCCAACCAGAGGAAATGGCTTGAAAGTACTTTGGCTTTTTATTTTGGTTTTAAAACACTTCTTGGAAGACCGTGCCCATGTTGGTACAGAACTCATTTCACTCTCTTACTCGTATCAGCCGGCATATTGACAGCAACTATTCCTTTAGTTTTGCGATTGATGCACAGATTTTGAATCAACACACCTCAGAAGTATGTCAAAGATAAATCATTCAGTTTATTCCTGCTTCTAGCAAATGAAGAAGTGATTTTGGGTTAACTTGACAAGAAAAGTTTAGTCTAAATCAATGTCTAGCAGATATTATTGTTAATTAAAAGTGTCTTTTTAGACAATTTATGTAAACATTTGATATCAATGGTATTTCTAATCCACTGCTTTTACTTCAAAATATACCTAAATATTTGTCTGTCAGAAGGAAACTTCACTAAAAAGAAGTTTGCAGTCTTCAAATAGGGTAGAACAAACAAGATTTCCAACATTACAGGACCTTCAAGCAACTATTGCTGATCAGGCAAAGGCCTTCACTGCCCATAGAAGGGAAACTGGAGTGCTTTGTCCAAAGCAAATCATAATTACAATTGGCGAAGACTGTAGTCTGGAGCCATGAAGCATGCAGCTGAATAATGCTGTTTTCTGCAAGGCTTGTGTAAAAAAAAAAAAAAAAAACTGTTTACGAATCAGAAAACTGTGATTTCTGACTCGTTTTTGAAGTAAAAGAAAGAAGTGTTCACTGAACAGAAGTAATTTAGAGCAGTTAGAAAAGGCTGATGACCACGACAAATAAGAAGAGTGTGATTACATTTTTATACAGTAAGTAACTTTTGGCTTGCCTCTTATTTAAAAAAACTATTATGCATTTAAGTCTTTTATGTTCACGTGTGTGCAGCTACAGACAGTGACTCTCTTCCTGAGCAGATCCTTGAAACGGAAAGCTAATATGACGAGTGATTAGCTTCATATTTGGAGACAAAAAAAGATGAGAGTCACGGTGTGCTTCTTTGCATGAACACAAAGAAGCAGGTGTTCTCAAACAAGCAGCTTTCAGCACTTTCAATATCAAAACTATCTCAGGAAGCTGCCCATTTAGCATTCCTTTTGCTAATGGGGGATTATAAATTCATCATACAACCGCATCATATTACACCGATGTATGCTGCCATCTCTTTAGGTTCAAAGTATTTGGATCTATACAAGAACAATGTAGAGTTTAATTTTCCTACAAAGCGTAGCTTTCAGCACAATAACATTTCTGTGTCAGCTTCATTGTAAAAATCGATCAAAACAATCCATTCAACCATTTGTTATTTCCGTTGTTTCCTACAGGGGGTTGTGGAAGAGGACTGAAGCAAATTACTGGCGACACGCTGGGAGAAGGCAAGTCCCTACATGGGTTGACCCAGCAGCATACATGTCAGCACAATGTGTGTATAATGCTTTATTTGACATTGTTCTAAGACGACATAAAAGGTAAAAGATGTTTAAAAATGCATGCTGGTTGTTGGCGGGGTTAAGTGTGACATCAGCAATGTTTGCTAATCTTAGGTAGCTATTTGTATTTGCCATTTACTGGAGAAAATTTATTTGCATGAAACATTTGTGCTCAGTGGTTGAGTTTCACAAAAATCATTTATTGCTACTTAATGAAATAGTTGAATGAGCGATCCAGGAAGTGTAAAACTTTTGCATTCAGGAAATAAAGAAAAGAGACAAACATATTTTTGAAACACTTGTCTGACAGGAGTTTGAAGCAGATCAACGGAGAACATAAAGTCCTGGCACAAAAAAAAAAGCAGATTTAGTTTGTCTTTCGATTTCTGTAGGAAGTGAGAGTGGGCATGTGTGACTGTTTGTTTGTGCTGTCCTTTGGTGTAGCGGAGATCTGACCAGTGTGGCCCACCTCTTGCCTGATGACTGTTAGAGACAGGCTAACCCCTGACCCCTACAACACAGCAGTGAGAGGTGGGAATAGAGAGGAGAAGGACAGAGAAATAACTGATGTGGCATAAATAATCTTTCACTATTTTATTGAATAAGTGAAGGACAGTATTTTAAAGGAAGAGCAAGAAGGGTCTGTTTGTGCCGAGGACAAACACAAAGTCACAGAACAAAAAAAGCATGTTAGCAACATCTACTGGACAATGCATGGCACTGCAGCTTAAACTCGATTTGGCACATTAGCAGCAAGCACAAACAGCACATTATTTGGATCCCTTTTAAGAGCAGTTGCCTCAACTTCCCCTTTAATTTCAACATAATTTATTTGAGGCAGCCCATTTTTGCTTGACACTAGTTGCATAACTTGATGAGTTGGGGGTCTTGAATAACAAACAGTTTAGACTGACTCTTAAGTAGAAATACATCCATTTTGAAAAACATTTAAACAAAACTACTGGTTTACATGCTAAATAATGTGTCTTAGTGAACACTTCCATTGTGTTTGTAGTAATCTTTGTGTTTGTATGAAATTTACCTTTATGTAATGTAACACAAGATGGTGCATTGTGATGCATGAAGATGATTTTGCTACTGAAGGTATGGCTCTTCTTTTTGAACCATGAAAAAAGTGATCAGTCAGAAAGTCCATATACTTTGCTGAGGTCATTTTCACATCTTTGGGGACTCTGAAAGGTCCAACCAGCTCTCTCTCTCTCTCTCTCTCTTTCTCTCTCTCTCTCTCTTTCTCTCTCTCTCTCTTTCTCTCTCTCTCTCTCTCTCTCTCTCTCTCTCCTTGATTTCTGCCCAAAAATTGACTCCACCACTTCCTTGCTGACGTCACAGCCGTGTTGGGACGTGGTGGCCGTCCACCACCAATCCACTATTGC